ACCTGGAGGCTGTATTACTATCTCACTTCCGGAGGCAAATCCTCCAAGTCAGGTTTGAGATGTCATACGTAAGATGATTCTATGATACCTGGCATATATATACACCAGCTATGATAGAATTCAAAACCTCTTCATATTACCATACTTTGAAAATGCTTCCTAAATATGTGAAGCTCCCAAACTTAGCATGGCCAAGTGAAGTTATGATACCGTAAACTGGGTTTGTAAAAGGTTGAGATCTGTAATGTGATCAGTACTTTTCTAGACAATTACTTCTTTGAAAAAGAATTTCAAACCCTTCATAGCATAAATGTGTATTTCATGTAGCTTCTCAGTTCTGTTGATGGACATCAGTCCCTGGCAAAAATGAAGGAATAATGTGAGCAAATTGGCTACAAATTTATCTAGATGGGACTAAACTCATCTGATAGATGTGGGGAATAGTGTGACTTCTAATTTTATTGTTTGTCTAGCCTCTGTGCAAAAAGACATCCTATAGTCACAAGCAACATTGCATCTATTTTGGCTTCTGAGAACAGCTGTGATTCTCAGCTGAGAACAACTGTGCTGTTTAATCTGCTGGCTATAAATATTCTTCTCTGCTATAGGAAAGATGTCTATAAAGTTTAGATATTTGAACCCAGATCTCCCAAGTCCCAAGGGCTCTGATATACATTCTTATTTAATTTGGAGAATTTAGGAAATTAGCCTGTGCTTAAATCTCCATCTACAGAATGAAGATAACATCATTTCCTTTCACTCTGCCTTGTTTGGCTGCATCATAAACCTTCTGGGGCAGGACCATTTGTTTCTATATTTGTTCAGCTTGTAGCACACTGAGTCTGATTTTTTTGATGGGGCGTTTATATATGGCTCTGATGCATAAATCAGATATATGGCTCTGATGCATAAATAATAGATTAATGTTGGGGGCAGGTGGAACTGTTTCACTGAAACAAGGTTTTATAACCTGAAGCATAAAATGCTGTGATAACCTTTGCCCAAAAAACCACTGGAGAGGTTTTTTAACCTCTACATGCATCAATAGCCTTCTTTGCAAGGAAGCATGAAAAAAACAAAAAAACAATGCCATCTGTTCCTTGTCTCTACTGGCTACTTTTGTTGGCTTTGAAAAGGGACTTTATAACTAATAATATATCACAGTATCACAGATTTTCCCCCTGTCTTGTCCCTCACCCTGTCTAGGAGGAATGGTTGCTTCAGACTTCCTCAGCCTTTTCTGATTTCTCTTTAGTACCCTCTGAAGCCAGTCCAAGTGTGGTTTTCTAGCTTCTGTAATAAGGGAAAGCCTTGGTTTCTTTTGACTCCAAGACCTCCAGCTATTCATGGCCTTGCCTTTATAGAGCTAACTTCCAGTTTATCTCCTGAAAGGGGCTTGACCTATTTCAAAGAGAATGAACTATTGCCAAAGTAGCAAAGCAGGCCACTCTTCTATAATGAAGGCATTTAGTGAGCCAAAGGCCATCCTGCGAGAGATTCTCTGCCCCCTCCACAGTTAAGTACTTCCTCTGACCCCAGTCCAGCCTTCACAGCCCTGAGCACCCCAAAGCAAGCTCAGGTATTGTCTCTCCAGTCTTCATAGTTGCACTTGAATAAGTTACTTAAAGAATGGCAAAGCAGCTGGACTCAACAACATATGCATGGAGCAGATCAAACACTTTTTGGTCCCGCAACCAAGTTATGGGTATTTCACGTTTTTAACAATTGCTCATCAGCCCTTAGAATATCTAGATCATGGTGACAAGCCCATGTTATAGCTCCATTAAAACCAGGGAAGGATGCATCTAGCCCAGAGAACTTTAGGCCATGTCACTCCTGTGTCATCTTTGTAAGCTTTATAAACATTTCATTTTCAGTCACCTTTTACCTCATATTGAACAACATCTAACACCAGAACAAGCCAGATTTAGACCAGGCAAGTCCTGCACTAGCCAAATACTAAACATCACCCAGCACGTACAAGATGGATTTGAGAAAGGGATGATAACGGGTCCTCTATTTGTAGATCTATCAGGAGCTTACAACATAGTCAGCCACCAAAACCTGCTTGCCAAAGTCTATAATATGATGCACAACTACTACCTAGTGCAGCTCATCCAATCTCTTTTGGAGAACAGATGTTTTATGTAGAACTGTGCAAGAAACAGAGCTGCTGCAGACAACGATGAAATGGTCTCCCACAGAGTAGTGTGCTAGCATCGATCATTTTTAACATGTATGCCAGTGAACAACCCATAGAGAGTAATACAAGGAACTTCATATATGCTGCTGATCTATGCATCGCATCACAAGAGAAGGACTTTGCCGCTGTTGAGAACAGACTGATGTGCACTTAGCAACCTCTCGGATTACTACGGTAAGAACTAGCTTCATGCCAACCCAACCAAGATGCAGCTCAGTTTTTCACCTACAACATAGAGAAGCCACGAGGAAATTAAACATCATCTGGGATGGAATCCCACTGACTAATCACCTGAACCCTGCATACCTGGGGTTACATTGGACCGACCACTAACCTTCAAAGCGCATGTAAAGAAGACTAAAAGGAAAGTCCATGCCCACAACAGCATACTTTGAAAGTTGGTCATCTCAAAGTGGGCAGTGAACCCAACTACATTACAAATCACTGCTATTACCTTGTGTTACTCCACTGCTGAGCATGCATATCCAGTATGGGAACAATCAGTTCATGCCAAGAAAAATAGACCCAATTCTATATGACAGCTGTCGTGAAATAACAGGATGTCTACAGCCAACACCAAAGGATAGCCTGTACTTACGGGCTGGCATTGCACCACCTGATATCAGAAGAAAGGTAGCAAGCCAGAAAGAAAGATCACAGCAGATAGAAGACCTCAGGCATGCACTCTGTGGTCTCACAGAAGTAACTAAATGGCTTAATGTGAAAGAGTTTTTTGTGACTAGTGTTGCACCATTGAGCATAATGGCTTACAAGACACAACTGAAGTTATGGAAGGAAAAATTGCATGCAATCAGGTGCTCTGAAATAGACCTGGAACCCCAGGAGGACCTTCCAAAAAGGGGCAGATCTAGATTGGCCAGCATGGTTATCTCTGAATCACCAGTGCAGGGAAACTGGAAAATCAAAAACAAGTATGATCAAACGGGGCTACTCTAATGACTTGAATGTGTGCAAGTGCAGTGAAGTGCAGACTATGGAGCACATGCTTGTTTGCCAACTCCTGGTGAGACCTGTATGAAGGAGGACCCTGCTGCAGCAACAGAAAGAGCTGTAGCTTGTGCACAATTCTGGAAAAAAATCTAGTTTATGACAAAGACACATGGAGGAGAAGGAGAAGAAGAACAGTTGCAAACCATAAAACTGCTTGGTTGTTTGCTCTCTTCAGACTCTCCATCTCCCACACTGACACCCTGCTTGTTCAGGCTGCTTTGTCCATTCTGAGACGAGGGTCTTTGAGTAAATGGTGATACCTTTCGTTAGACCAACTAAATAGTTGGGAAAGTTGTTCTTTGCAAGCTTTTGGGTACAAACACCTTTCTTCAAGCATAGGGAGAGTCTGCTATTGTTTTGTGCTCTCCTGGATGGAATAGAAGCTAATATGCAAAATGCAGGTCTGTGAAAATGCAAATATGTGGCAGTGAGGATCAAAGACCATGGGAGACAATAGGTGTGAACCAGGTAGATGTTGGGGAGGGGGAAGAGGGGAATGGTGACCTGGTGATAGGATGTAGCTGGTAAAATATAAAGAAGTTACCTGGGATTATCAGATGGCAGGCAGGTTATAATGTGCCATAAATCCAATATCTATATTTAGTCTGTATTTTTTTGTATCCAGTAGATTTATGAAGTGAAGTTTGTAGGCTTGTCTACAAAAGATGTTTTGTAAATTCCCTTTGAGGACTAGAACTGAGAGATTGGAGAGAGAGCGGTTGTTTATGAGAAGTGTGCACCCAAAGGTAATTGGATAATTTGGTATTTTTTTCGGTGTGTGTTGTTGTTTGGTTTCTCCTACATATTTTCCATCAGGGCATTTAGTGCACTGGATGAGATATATTAAACTTCTGGAGGTGCAGGTGTAAGATCCAGGAATGGTGATGGTTCTGTTGTGGGATGTTGTTATTGTGGGAGTGGTGGAGATTTCTTTAAGAATTGGGTCTTCTAGTATGGCTTGCAATTGTTTGAGGACTTCCTGTATAGGTTCCAGGGGGGGATGATATGTCATAACTAATGGTGTGCAATTTGTGGGGTTTTTTTCTTTTTGTACTGCAGCAATTCTTCACATTCATTATGATGCTTTATCTCCCTTAGCTTCCCTGGTTTGGGTGTGACCTCCAATCCCAGATTGTTAAAAAATCAACAAGGCTGTTCAGATCCTTGTAGATGGATGTCTCTTCTGGTTTTACTGTCTCTTAACCCCTTCTTCCCTCCTTCTTCCTGTTAGGAAGAAGACATGTTAGTCGGGGCAACTGAGGCATGCATCCTTTTTAAATGTGTTCATGTAGCATTGTAGAAATAGTATTTGAAAAATTGCCCGTGTTCACAAGCTCTGCCATGCGTTTTTACTGTGTTTGATCATTCTTAATATTGTCAGTAGTTGACAGAGGCCACACTTCTCAAAACCTATTCCTAAAGTGTTGTTGAGACACAGCATAAGAGATACATCATCGTCATGTTTTACATTCATTTTTAAAAGGGAATGGAAACTCCAATTAACATACAGACTTTTTATTTTGTTGTAATGGCTTCTTTATATTGATACATGTTGCCAACATGCTTTGATAACCAAAATAGTGGTTATGAAAATAGTGTATGATGATAATAGAAATATAACTGAGTTTCATGTCTAAAACTTGGGCATAAATTTGAAATTATCAATTGGTTTACTGGATGCAAAAAAAAAAAAAGGTTAGCTGGAATGACAAGTCAATGATTTGGACTGTAAATCTCCATTTTTGTTGGTTTTAAAGATTTTTATCTTGATTGTCCTCCCATGCAGGGTCAGCTTTACCTGCTGGTGACAGACCAGGGGTTTCTTACAGAAGAAAAAGTTGTTTGGGAAAGTTTACACAACGTAGATGGTGATGGGAATTTCTGTGATTCTGAATTTCACCTTCGGCCTCCATCAGACCCAGAAACTGTATACAGAGGGCAGCAAGATCAAATAGATCAGGTAAATCTATTGTGTATTTCCAGTTCTTTGTGACTTAAATAGCTAAAGAGAGACTGGTGTACCAATGATGTCAAAGGAAGCATTACAATTAATTTCAGCTGGAGCAGTTGAAACTCAGTAATCTAGATCCTGAGTGACTTGAAAATCCCATTTAGTATCTTAAAAGCATGGGTCATCATCAGGGATCCAGGTTTTCCATTTGCTGCGGAAAACCATGGATTTCCCCCCTTTAAAGGAAAAAACTGCAGGAAACCATGGTTTCCCCTTGTAGGCTGGCAAAGTTCCAGCCTGCAAGGGGCTGCAGGAAGCAATCAGACAGGGGGTGCCATGTGTAGGGGCAAGGGATGGGGGAAAGGGGCACAGGCCACATAGTGGAGGGGAGGGGGCACAGGTGGCCACATGTCCCTAGAGATTTCTGCACCCACAGTAGGGCACAGGGCTGCAGTGGGGATGGACCAGCTCTGGAGGAGTCACCTCCATGGCCCAGCAGGCAGGACCTGGTACAGGAGGGAATGCTGCAACTCCATGACCACCAAGCTGAGGCGCCCCCTGCCTGCCCAGCAGCAACAGGGGCACAACTCTGTGCTGCTGCCACTGCCATGGCTGCACATACCGTGTGGCAGGGTGCTCCCTTCAGCACCAGGCCCCCTGCTGGGCCAGACAAATGGCTCCTGCCCAGAACTGGTCCAGTGGGCTGCAGCCACCTGTCATGCTGTGGGAGCAGAAATCTTGGGGAGCATGTGCCTCCCCCGCTGCATCGCCTTGGCCCCCCCCGCCTCCTCTGCCATGTCACCTGTGCCCTCTCCACCCACTCCCTTCCTCACACATTGGAGGGGCTGGGGGTTGAAAGTTGAAGGGGGAGCTGTGGCTCGGGAGTAAGGGGCAGGGTACCAGCATGTTCAGGGGCAGGGCACCAGCAGTATCAGGGCTGCTCAGTGCCACAAAACAGCAGTGCGGGGGCAGCCACAGCTGGACCTGCATCCTGGTGAGAGAATTGGGCAGGGGAAGCTCTGATTTTCCATGAGAAAAAAACAGAAATCAAACGCCAAAATTTATAAGTGTTATCAAATGTATTTTATTATAATGATTGATGCACTGATAGGCTTCCAAATTGCTTTAAAAATGTAAAATATATCAATAAAACAAAGTGTTCAAATGATACATATATATATTAGTGGTATTTCATTTTAATCATGGAGATAATAGGTCAATACAGCCCATCAGAATAAGATCTGTGATAATGCCCAGTGCAGTCAGTCCCCCTCAGCGCCAACTATTTTTCAAGTCATGCTGAGCCACTACATTGCATACATTTTGACTTCTTCACTCTCACAGCTGAGCTGTGCCTCTTTTTCCCCAATTCCAATTATTTCTGTTTCTTCACCAGCCTTAAATGCCTAACAAACCTCACCAAACAGTTCACCCCAAGTCCCTCTGTTGTCCCCCTCTCTCAGCATGTCTCATATGATTAGTGTGGCCCTGCCCTCCATGCGGTGGAGCCAGACTAGGTTCCCCTGCACCTCACCTGCATATACATTTTTGGACTATCCCAGGACTCATGACAAGAACACCAATCATGAATGTGAAGCTAATTAGCACATAGGGATATCTGGAGTACACATACATAGTGGGGATATCTGGAGTACATACACATACTGAGCAGTGGTGAACTGTGGGGTCACCATGGCTTGAAATGTCATTGACTCTGCTGAGGCCCACCCAGTGAACTGTAGGGCAAACCATGAGTCTTTTGGTTTTGGACTAATATCATGACTGGCTTGTGTTCGTGCTGACAAATGGACAACCATGGCTCGTGGACCTACCCTGGTTCTATGAGACCCGAAACAAGCTTTGCAGCATGTACGGTCTACAGAACGCAGGCCCCGCATCTGTGATTAATCACAAGATGTAGGAGGTAGTGAGAACCAAAGATACCACGTTGCCCGTGGACCTGCTCCCGGGTGATGCTTGTCAAGCTGCGTGGGAACGCATCTTCCACAAGGACCTGTGTAAAGATCAGAGTTCTGAACTGGCTGGTAACCCAGTGAGCCCCCGCAGCGAGGGCTGGGAGACCTAGAGCGGGGCAGCCAGAGCAACCCAACTGTCCACAGGCAACCTGTCAGGGAGCCACAGAGACTATCAATCACCTTCTATGGCTCTGCACGTATGCCAAGGAAGTGTGGAGAAAGGTAAAGCAGCTCCATGAAGTGGTGATGGGTTGAACAGTTGTCGAGAAAGGTGGCACTGTGTGGGCACCTGACCAAACACCAGGGGAGCCCAGTGGCCTGTTTCGATCAGTTCATGTCCTGTGTCAGAAGTGCCCTGTGGAAGTCCAAAAACCTCCTGATGTATAGACACGTGAACCTAGAGGTGGTAGACTGTGTTAAGACGGCTCTGAGTGAATTCCAGTTCTACTACCAGAAATCAGTAACAGGGGATGGTGAGGACACAGCCAAATCCATCTGGCAATGACACTTGGCATAGTTTCTTCCAAGCACCCCCCCAGTGGTGAAATGGACAATAACAGTAAAGAGGGCGACGAGACAACTGGATCTGGAGGTAGCAAGGAGGACAGCAGCAGTGACAGCAGGAGCTGATTTTCCAGTTGGAGCGACAGTGATAACAGATGAACTGATACTTGGAACCCAATAACAGGGGTGTGGACTGTGGGACTGTGTTCAGGGTAGGGAGGCTGGCAGGCATTTTGCATGGAAGCGCAGGTCCGCGGGTGCGTATATTGTAACAGGTTTATGGGTTTTGTTGGGTGAGTTAAGGCATGGGAAGAAAAGTGTACTAGAAGAGGTGTGTGTGTATAATTTGTAGAGAGAGAGAGAGATGTATATATTTCCTCTGTGTGTGTGTGTGACTTGTATCAATTTAGTTAGTCTACAAGGTGAAATCTATCTTGCCAACTGCTTGACTTCAAATTAACATGGCTAACTATGTCTTGCTATACAACAATATTCAGAAATCTTAAAGGAACTGTACATATTCCTAGCATAACTTGTTTGTTGATTTGCTTCCGATTCAAAGTTTAGTGAGCTCTTTCCAGTGGCTTTGCAACCTAAGAAACCATCCAGTAAGCATAATGGTCTTGCTTCAGTGACTTATGACTTTCATATACAGCAGAAGAGTATTGACTAATGGTGAGTTCATTTCTTAGGACTATCTGATGGCATTGTCTTTACAACAAGAGCAGCAGAGCCAAGAAATCAATTGGGAAGAGATCCCTGAAGGAATCAGTGATCTTGAGCTAGCCAAGAAACTTCAGGAAGAGGAGGATAGGCGAGCCTCTCAATACTATCAGGAACAAGAACAAGCAGCTGCAGCTCAGGTCCAGGTGAGCATATATACTCCATGGTTACAAAATACAAATACTAGCTTAATTTATTTTGTGCAATTTCATTAAGACTTTTTACTGCTGTCTGAGCTTAGTTCACCCATACGAAATTTCTATTAGCATGAAAGAGAATCTGATTATGCATATCAGTTTCTTTTCATTGCATGTTATATGACTGTTCTGTGGAAAACATCTATACTAACTTTGTTCTGAAATTGCTCCAGTCTGATCTAGGCAGGCAAGATTATTTGGGTAGATGTGATATTTTTAGGGGTGCACTGATGGAGATTTTGGGGACCGACACAGATAGCCGATTTTTAAGGAGGCATGTTGGCCGATACCGATCTGATTTTTGATACAGCTGCGTGCTGCTGGTAAATCTGTTGTGATGAAGCAGGGAGAGAAGGGGCATGGGGGGAGTAGATGAATGCCCCCCACAGTGAGGGAGGGAGTGGGGCTGGAGTACCCACCTGGGCAGCGCCCAGGCACAGGACAGAGCCATCCAGGGGGCACGGGGAGGGAGGAAGAGCAGCTCCCACCACTCTTTGCACCCCAGGAGGACAGTGGGGGCAGTGGGGCATGTACCACTGAATCTGGGTGGGGTGGGCTGTAGCTGTGGGCTGGGGCTGGGGGCCATGCTGGACTCTTCCCAGCGGTGGGGACTGGGCCACACTGTGCTTGGGACAGGTGGTGGCAGCACTGGGAAGGGGCTATGGCGGGGAGGGGCTGCAGCCACCCCAAATTTTGCTGTAGCCCCCCCAGTAGTCCCCTTGCAGTGCCACTGCCATCCACCCCAAACGCAGCATGGCTCGGCCCAGCCTCACTGTGGCACTGCCACCACACTGCCTCGCCCAGATCCAGGGGCCCATGCCTTCCCCCCCAATGCCCTCCCAGGGTGCATGCAGCGGTGGTAGCTGCCCCACACCTTCCCATGCTCCCTGGATGAGCCATGGCTCCATCCCGTGCCCCGCCCCGGCTGGGCAGCACCTACCCCAGTCCCACTCCCTCCCTCACTGCAAGGAGCATTGATCTGCCCCTTCCCTCCCCTTCCACCACAACAGACTTACCAGCTGCACACAGCTCTCCAAGCTGCCAGGCTGTGCTCCCCACCCACTATGTGCTATGCCGTGGCTGCACACATACCTGGGCGTTTATCGGCCAAATTATCGGTCACAACAGGCCAATTTCTGATATAGTCAATTTTCTTTATATTGGTGCCAATCTAATATTTGACCGATATATTGGTGCACCTCTAATATCTTTTATTAGTCCAACTGAGTAGTTTAAAAAAGTTCTTTGCAAGGTTTTGGGCACAAGCACACTTCTTCAGGCATACGGAGTTTCTGCTGTTCTCCAAAGAATGAAAGAAGCTAAAAGTGTGACAAAATGTCAGTGAGAATGTAAATGGAAATTAGGAAGAACAAAGGGTAGGGAAGGGGTGGGGGAGGAAGGAAACAAGGAGGAAATAATGCCAAAGATAAGGGAGACTGTACTGTAGTTGAGTTCTCCAAAGTAGAAAAAAGGCAGTCTGTGAAAAAGTAAATGACTGAAAATTAGGAAGACAAAAGGGTAGGAAAGAAGTGGGGGGAAGAAAAGTGTAAAAGGTAAGGTCAGGCAAGTACTTGGTGAATCAGATGTCAGGCAGGGTATAATGTGTCATAAAACCAATGTCTATATTGAGTCCATGACTTTTTGTATCCAGTAGATTTGTGAAGTGCAGTTTGTAGGCCAGGGGTGGGCAATTATTTTGGGCGGAGGGCTGCTTACACAGTTTTGGCAGGCTGTTGAGGGCTGCATGGGGAGTCCCACCCCTTGACAGGTGCCCCGCCCCCGGTCACCATCTTGGGACCAGTGTCTCAATGTCTTTGATCCCAAGACATTGGGACATTAGTTCCATGTCCCAGGGCCAGCACTGGTGGGGCCCAAAGCGGGTACAGGCTGGCAGGGGTCTGTGGAGCCAGGCTGGGCTGCACCAGCAGGGAGACGGGGGAGCTGGCCTGGCTCCATAGAGCCCCTGCCAGCTGGGACCCTGCGCTCCTGCCACCCTGCTCTGGGCCCCACCGGCACTGGCCCTGGGACACTGGTGTGAGCCCTGTGCTCCCACTGGCTCCCCACCCACTCACTCCCAGTGTCCCCCAGCCCTGCGGTATAGCCCTGCGGTACAGGCATTTTTGACAGGAACCAAGGGCGGAGAAATATGAGTTTTCTAAATTTTTAGGGGCCCCGTGGACTGGACAGAATGGCCTCGTGGGCCAGATCCAGCCCGTGGGCCATATTTTGTCCACCCCTGTCATAGACTCATCTACGAAAGGTGTTTTGTAAGTTCGCTTTGAGGATTAGAACTGTACCCTTTGAACCCTGTGCAGCAAGTGATGCTTGCATAACAAACTTCAGATAAAATCGTTATAAATATGAGAATTCGCATGTTAATCCCAGTTTGTCAAGTAAATAAATTAATCCATGCCACTAATGGCTAGGCTTTTAAATAATTATTTTACAAGACTTTTAAATGGGGACACTAGGATAATTTGGGTTATAGGAAGCTGTATTTAGAAGAAAGTAGTAGCATGCAGTTTTCATTGATATTCTGGGGAAGAATAAAAAGCTCATCAAGAAATATTTTTGAGATGATAAAGCAATCTTATAATGAAATCTGAGAGCTATGTTCTGTGTTTTTCTACTAAGGAGCTTTTAGGTCTTAATTAGTGTTGGTAAATATAGCAGAATGAACTTTAACCTCTTTTTCCACTCTGAAGTCATGACTGGAAATATTGCTGAATAAAATCTTGCATGTCTCAGAGGGTCACTTAAGCCTGTTTTCAGGTGCATATGACTCTGTATTAGGACTGTCAATTAATCGCCGTTAACGTGCACGATTAATGCAAGAACGAATTCCGCACGTGGTTTTGGAGTCGCTTCCCTGCCCCACTACCATCACCACTGCTTCCAGGGTGCCCAGCGAGGCAGCAGTGGCAGTACAGACAAACTGTAGGGCAGCCTGGGCACGGGCTTTGGATGACTGTAGCAGAAAGTGGCGAGAGGGGGGTTGCACCCACCCACAACCCCCATCCAGGGCCCTGAGCAGCCAGGCTGGCAGCACTGGGGATTCAGGGAAGGCAGCGCTAAGCCACGGCAGGGATGCCTGGCACCCTCGGGCCCCATGGCTCAGATTCGGGGCAAGTCAGGACCGCCTGGGAGCTCCAGCATGAGTCACCTCCGGGCCCGCAGCGCCCTGCACCCCCACCAAGGTAGCAGCTGCCAGCAGGTGGGGGTGGGATTCCCACAGAGCCCCTGGCCCATGCTGTGCCACACACCCAGCCCCATGCCAACAAAGCCTGAGCCGCACCCATTGCCAGACAAAGCCCCTGCTCTCCTCCCTGTGCCTCCCAGGCTCCTGCCAGGACCTGCATGGAGCAACCAAACCTGCCAGGTCCCGGTGGGAGCCCAGGTGGCACAAAGAGAGCAGCAGCTCTACCTGACTTGGGCTCTTTCGGTGCTGGGCTGGGGCCGAGTATGCAGCGCAGCGCAGCGCAGCGCAGCGCAGCCTGGCATGGGCTGGGGGCTGGGGGAGGTGGCTCCACAGGAATCCCACCTCCTGGCAGCAGCTGCTTCTGTGGAGGTGCAGGGCATGAGGCCACTGATGCTGCCATTCCTGGGGGCCCAGACTAGGGATGCATGGGGACCCACAGGCTGTGGCCCATGCCGGAGCTCCCATGTGGTCCTGACCTGCCGTAAGCCTGAGCCGTGGGGCCTGAGGGTGCCAGGCAGCCCTGCTGTGGTGGCTCTGTGTGGGCTTCAGGAAGCTGCAGCAAGAAGTGGGGGGCACACCCACCCGCAATCCCCATCCAGGGCCCCGAGCAGCCAAGCTGGCAGTGCTGGAGGCTTGAGAAAGGCAGTGCTGTGCCACAGTGGGGTTGCCTGGCATCCTCGGGCCTGGGGCAGATCGGGACAGCCTGGGATCTGCTGAGCAAGTAAATGGGGACGTTCAGGCCAGGGCTGGGGCTGGGGCCAGAGCAGCTTCCCTCAGCCAAGGCTGCTTGCAACCACTGCTGCTGGGACAAGGGCAGGGTGAGCCCACCACTGCTGGGGCCATGCTTGGGCGGAGGGCCCATCCCGGATCTGGGACAGCTCTGCGGAGACCCTGCTAAGATTGGGCATCCTGCCACGGCATGCAGGGGTCCCCCCTCCCTGGGCTCCAAAACCCACACCCACAGATCTCCAAACCTTCACAAATTCACCTCCCCTCCCCTCCCCCCCCACACCCAAGCATAGAAAGTACCTGCATAATTTTGCATAATTTTGAATTTTTAGCTGTGCTATTAAATTAGCGATTAATTGAGATTAACTTTTTGAATTGCACAACTAATCGCAGTTGATTTTTTTAAATAATTTGACTGCCCTACTTTGTATATTATGTCTTAAACTAACATGACCAAAAAAAAAAATCTGTAGCTGCATACCTCTGAACCTTGTTGATCCAGTCGCTATTTAGCCCAGTAAGTCCTCTTATTTATGTTTATTTTCCAGTATGAGTTACTTTCCTAGATGCAGTAAATGCAGATAGTTTTCCTGTGTCAATGATTCATTAACAAGTGAAAAAAGTCTAGCTCAAAACAAGAGGCAGACAAGGTTCTTTGGGTGAATCTGATATCTTTTATTAGTCCAACTTAAATAGTTGGAGAACAATTTTTAAGCAAGTTTTCGGGTTCAAAAACCCTTCATCAGGCTAAGGAAATTTCAGCAGTTGGCGTGTGCTCTTCACATCAACTGCTGAAACTTCCTTAGCCTGACGAAGGGTTTTTGAACCTGAAAGCTTGCTTATAGTTGGAGAACAATTTTTTTAAGTTGGCCTAATAAAAGATATCAGATTCACCCAAAGAACCTTGTCTGCCTATGTCCTTAGACCAACACGGCTACAACCTACACCCCTACCTCAAAATAATTCATTAGCTTGTAGGATTGACAGATGACAGAACATTCAAAATTCACTGAAGGTCTTTTAGTTTGAAAGAAAAAAAAATGCTAAAGAAAAACACATTTTATAGAATCATAAAATGGGTTTAGAATAAGATACCTCAAAATGTGATATAGTCTTCCCCCTTCACCCCGCCTACTCAAATTTTAGATTATCCTGTTTCAAACGTGCTTAAACCATCTCAGCCAAAAACTTAACCTTCAGGAATGAAGACTTTACAACATCTCTAGTTGGTATACTTTGTTTAACCACTCCTATAGTTAGAAAGTTCTTCCTACGGTCTAACATGAATTTCCCTTGTAGTTTAAGAAAGTTTCTTTTTTTGCCCTGTCCCATTTGGACACAAAATAATCCATAATCATCCTTTTCATAAAAGTAGGTGTTATATTTGAAGACTGTTATGAGTCTTTTCTTCTCCAGACTAAGGATCCCCAGTTCTTCCAATCTGTTATCTGTACTGTGTCTTTTTGATCTCTAATCATTTTTATTACTTTCCAAAACTGGGCACCATAACACAGGGGAGGCTTCACCAGTACTCAGTAGAATGGAAGAACTGCATCTGGTGACTGCATTAGATGCCTTTCCTGATTTCCCCTTTTACCGTAACCCAGAAGTTTTGAACAAATCTACTGCCCACTTCATTCTGTAGCTCAGAACAAGGCAATACTGCCTCCTTTTTCTCATGCCTGCCCTTCCAGAACAAGATCTATCCATCCAGGAAAATGTTCCAATCATGTGAACCATGCCACTTGTCTGTTATGCCAGTAATGTCATCATTTTGTGTGTGTACTATGATTTCTAATTCTTCCTGACTTATTTTCCACTTTTCTTGTATTAGTATGTAAACATCTTGGGTTGCTGTGCGTAATTCCTTTTTACAGCCTTGATTCCTTTTCTGAAAACTCTGTATTGTTTTCCTGCTCTTGGCCTTTGCCCCTCAGTCATCTTACTCTTTTATCAAAGGGCTTTTGTCTCCATGCCCCACTGACCCTAGTTTGAAGCTATTCTTGTTTGATTAAGGAGCCAAGATGCAAAAATATTCTGTCCTCTCTCCATTATTTCAGCATAAATAATTTTGAGGTAATTTATGATAGCTGCTTTAAGTACTTAGTGTTGGGCTTTTCACACCGCAGATTTTATTCTATTTTTAGCCAACTTAGGTATCCACCATGCCTCTGCATAATTTCTAAATATCCAAATATGGGACTTATGGGAATTTGTACTTTTGCATAAAATTACATAAATCGATTCTTTTTGTCATTTTGCATCAAAATGTCATATTAAAAGTAGATGGGAATAGATTTTTTTTCTCCTTGGGCGGTTTGGTAAGGGAAATAATTAGGTTTAAAACAGCACAAAATACAGGTTTAATGCCTGCTTTTGATGGCTGTTTCTCTTCTCATCCTTTCACCAGAGCAACAAATTTAAGTTTATCCCTTTTGTTTTTTGGCAGGGGGGAAGGTTATTCTTTGCAATATTTGTGAATTTAAACTATCATTCTTGTAGCAGGTACAAGGAGCAGCTTCTCCAGCAAGCGGAAGACAATCTGGGAGCAGTGAACGCAAACGAAAAGAACCTCGGGAGAAGGAGAAGGAGAAAGAGAAGGAGAAAGAAAAAGAAAAGAACAGTTGTGTCATTTTGTAACAGGAGATGGATTGTTGCCTGGAGCCAAGTGCACGTCCTCAGAAAAAAGAACAAGGAATAAAAAGGAAGATAAACCCGTTACATGCCGCCTGTGCCTGATTATCCCCATGGATTTTGTTCCTGCTTAAGGAGAGGATGGGTGACCACTTTGTTACAATCGTACAGACTTTTGTCAAAGTCCTAGTGCACGCTCGTCGAGATGAAATTCCAAACCACAATCGGATGCGGCTGTGCTTTGAGTCAGTCATGAGAATATTGCACCTTGTAGCTGAACACACATCACAGCAAGTTTTGTGTCATAGTGACATGCATTATTCATAATATCAGTTAGTAAGCTATTTCATCTTTTACTCGACAGAAAGGAAGTAATATGTTTTGTGTCAGATTTCTTCCTGAAGTCTTTACATCAGCACAACAGAATCATGGTTCTTTTCATGGTATGAAATATAACTTAGACTGGGTATTAATGGCACTAGAGCCCAATGAGCTTCCCAGCACACTGCCTCCTCAACATGCCCAGATTCCTCGTGTTCAGGTTCTGGTGTCCCACGTGCATTCTTTTTCCCAGGATTACACTGGTTAGTGCTGTCATTGCACCATCCAGCCAGCTTTACTTTTGCCCTATTAGTGGTTTGTCAAATGTCTTACTGAAAATTGCGTGTTACAGAAAACCGGAGCATCTATTGATAAGCAAGATAAATCTTTATTATTACTTCTCTCGCAGTTAAAAACTGGGTATTGTAACTCAGAACTTATCAGGGTTGAACAAATGATTTTATAGTTTCTTTTCTTTAGAATTTTCTCTTATAGGTAAACTGGACCAGAGAAATTGTTCTTATTTATTGACCTCTTCATGTGGTAGGTGATATGTGGAAGGAAACTAAAAGTCTATAATAATCCTTCTCCTATGTAGAAATGCAGAATTAAAATAACTAACTTAATATCTGCCTTTTTCCAGAAGTACCTTGAACCTTAAGATGATATTAACATGTTCACTTGTACATTTAAGCAGGTGTACTGTACACAAATACCTTTTTTTTTTTTTTTTTTTTTTAAATCATGTATCTGTAAAAAGCACACTTTTGCAGGGTCAGAGAGAGGTTAAATTGCTCTCTAGGATTGTTTGGAAAGTCTCACAGGTGTAGTATCACTTTGTTTTTTAAATCACTAATCTAAAGTTTTGGGAAATGTCTGTAGAAATAACCAGATTTTCTAATTTATGGGAACCAAATAAACACATTGCATCTTGTAGAATTTATAGGATACAGAAACAAAATATTTGCTGAATTTTATTATGAGGGAACCACAAATCCTCCTCCATTTCAATAGGGGAAGTCAGTAATAATTACTTTATTGCTGATCCTTTTGATAAACTTTATATTTAGCAATTTGTAGATACTTTAAAAAGGGCTGCTTGTGCTGGAAAAGTCCTGATTCGCACACTGTCTGGGTAAGTGCATTCGCATAATTGAGTCTGGAACGGCTTAAAGCAGCCAGCTGGAACATGACATTCCTATTTTTGGATGTAAGATGTCTGTCGGGTGCAATTTTTAAAAAGTCTTGATTTGAAACATAGATTTATGGGTAAAGAACTGCTTTAAAGTTTTTTTTTTTCAAACAGTATTGCCATCCTGATCAGAACCAGTCATCACACAAATCTGTTACATACTAAAATAAAAAAGTAGACTGATATAAAGTAGGATTATTTATTACAATAACTGTATGGACAGTCTGGATTACTTTTTTCCTCAGCTTTTTCTTTCTATCCTTTTGTTACACTTTGTTACTACATTCTTTTTATTATACTGAAGTGATGAATGGTTAAAGAAGGTCTTTGTTGGACATTAAATCTCAGATACAGAAATTTCTTGGCAATTATAGATGGAACTATACTTGGTTATTAATACCTAGATGTACACAGCTAAAATAACAATCTGTGTCAAACAGTTGACTTCATTTCTTTTGCTGAAATGAACCATTTCTTTAAATAAATTTATATTAATATTAGGATGAACATAAGCTTACTAGATCTGCTTTTCTTTACACTGAATGGAAGATATCAACGTTGTATTATATTGGAGCAACAAAGGCACCAAACGAGAATGTTGTTTAAAAAGCAATGTGTTAGTGAAGGGATTTTTCCCATACTTGTGTATATCCATTTATTTATTGCCCTTGACAAATAAACGTGTCAACTTTAAGCTTTGTTAATTAATTATTTTCGGTAACAATACTGTCGTTTTGCATTCCCAACTAAAATTAATTTGGCATTACAGCTATCAAGTTCAGTAAACCATAGTTAATTGATATATGGGATAATTACCAGTTTTCCATCTTTCCCATATGATCAACTCCTGTTTATTGGAAGAGTCACTATTATTTGCATTCCCCTTGGAGTGGTGAATTAACTGGAGTTTACTGTAAATAATTTTGTAAACTTAAGTCACAGAATAATTAACTGTATTTACTAGTAGTACCAGAAAAGTTTGTGTAGCACTTCCACTTCGTGTCCCACTGACTCTCCTGAAACATAATGTACTATGGTAATATTGTCTTATTTGGTTACAGTGGAAGAAAACAAATGAAATAAGAATGTCTGTTTAAAAAGTAAGTTTTCTAGAGAATTTGGTTTCTCCTCAATAAAGATTTTATCAATTTCAGAACTATTCAGGTTTGATAGTGTTGAATGTGTTTATTAAGTAAATGAAAAGCTACAGTTCTGAGAGAGATTAAATATTAAGGCTTTTACTGCTAGGATGCGACCTAAATCATAGAATCACGGGAGAAACAAGACTGAAGGATCATCTAGTCCAGCACCCTGCTCAAGGGAGGGGTCTTCCTTGTCTAAACCATCTCAGACAAATATTTGTCTAACCTACACTTAACTTCCAATGATGGTGATTCCATGACCTTCCTAGGTAATCTGTTCAATTCTTAACTACCCTCATCATTAAAACGTGTTTTTAATATCTAGTCTAAATCCCCCTTGCTGTAATTTAAGATCTTTACTTTCTGTACGGTGTAGACATTCAGAACAATTGTCACCATCTTCTTTATAGTAACTTTTTTGTATTTGAAGCCTGCTATCAAATCTACTCAGTCTTCTCTAAATAATCCCACTTCTTCTGATCTGTCCTTTTTATGTCATGTGTCCAGATCTCCAGGTAAATTGCAGTGAGATTCATCTTCAGAGATGAGAAGGAATCTTGGCAGCTTTGAGTGAGGGTTTGCTAGTTTGAGTTCTGTGGTCTGGGTTTTCTTGCCATCTTGCAGTATTGTTTTGGGCAGTGATGTTCAGATTCAGCATCTGGAAACAACTGTTAACAAGGCAAAGGCTCTATCCCAGGTGGAAAGCCTAAGGAAGCAAGAAACATTGAATCATAGAAAATTGGGGTTGGAAGGGACCTCAAGAGTCCATTTAGTCCAACCTCCTGGTCAAAGCAGGACCATCCCTAACTAGATCATCCCAGTCAAGGCTTTGTCTAGCCAGATCTTAAAAACCTCCAAGGATGGAGAGTCCTTTACCTCTCTGGGTAACTTGTTCCAGTGTTTTACTACGCTCAGTGAGAAAATTCTTCCTAATATCTAACCTAAACCTCCCTTGCTGCAACTTGGGACCGTTGCTCCTTGTTCTGTCATCTGCCACCACTGAAAACAGTCTGGCTCCAGCCTCTTTTGAATTCCCCTTTGGTAGTTGAAGGCTGTTATTAAATCCCCCCTCAGTCTTCTCTTCTCTAGACTAAAAAAGCCCAGTTCCCTCAGCCTCTTCTCATAAGTCATGTGCCCCAGCCCCAAAACCATTTTTGTTGCCCTCCACTGGACTCTCTCCCATTTGTCCACATCCTTTCTGTAGTGGGGGGTCCAAAACTGAACACAGTACTCCAGGCTTCCCTTGACCTGCTGGCAACCCTCCTACCAAAGGAGCCCAGTATGCTGTTAGCCTTCTTGGCAACAAGGGCACACTGCTGGCTCATATTCAGCCATTGTTCACTGTAACCCCCAGGCCCAATCCTCCAGTTGTCTAGGTCACTCTGAATCCCAGCCCTACCCTCCAGCGTATCTACTGCTCCCCCCAGCTTGGTGTCATCTGCAAACCTGCTGAGGATGCGCTCTATGCCATCCTCCAGGTAGTTGATGACTTGCTTCTCTTTTTCCAAGCAGAAAATCCACTCAGACTCCAGACAGTCTCTAGTGTTAACTTAGTTTGGTGGCCTTAATTTAATTTCCTAGAGCAAATTCCTGCATCACAACTCCTGCCCCCTTCAAAATTGATATGTTTAGCTTTAATAAATCCAAAGATTGAATAGACACTTAGATGGAACTGCTCTGACCTGTAATGATGGGTCTTGTAATTAATGTTAAGATGTATTTATGAAAACTGATGCTTACATTTCTGACTACTTTACTGTATCTGCTCTCTTCTTCAGTGCTATTAATCTGACTTCTTTCTACAGCATTGTAATTTCAAATAATTTTAATATTTGGCTATTTTCTTTCTAATCCAGCTGTTAAAATATTTGTTTTATGTAAACATTTCTTGTCCTAAATATACCATTTAGTTCTCTTTCTCTCTGTCAACCTAAAGTGTATTAAGCTGTCTTGAGAAGATTTATTGGGAATTGTATGGACCTCATTTCCTAGCTAAATGCAATCTGTGTTTTATATGGACTTCTACTGGCATCTGTTGTCTTGTAAACCACTGCATAAGACCATTTAGGCAAAGGAACTTCTTTGCTGTCATAATATAATTATAGGGAAATTCAAATGAAAGCTGTAATTCTGCTGTTTCCTAGTATGTCCTTATTTTATCTACTCTCATATAGTTTTTTAAAGTCTGTATATATTTTATACAATGTAGGATATAAATTAATTTTAAGAACTTGTGAAGGCTGTATCCTTAAACTATCTATTAACATCCACTCTGCCTAATCAGTGTGATTCCTTTCACTGAGTGCATATTATGACAAAGACTATAAACCTTCTGTTACATTAATAGTCTCAATATAATGCTCAGATATTTTACTATGCCAGGTATAAGCACAATTTGATTTCAACAAGAAAATTTATGGCACTAGGGAAAAAAGCATCATTTTGGCAAGATACTCAGTTTAAATGCATAGTTCCAGCTCCACTATGGTGATATGCACCAGTATAAGGATCTCAACAGAATAAGAAAATAGTGATGTTTCAGGATAAGTATTTGTTGAATTCCCTTTTTACCTTGCCTGTCTGGAATCTGCAGCATGATAATAATGGTAATGCTGTTTTTTGGAGAGGGACAGTCATTTTTAAAAGGTCGTTATTTAAGAATGGTCAAATGAAGTGCATCCTTTCCTACGTCAAACCTGACTATGTAGAAGTTGACCTGAATTACCTCCCTTTCCATAAGGGTAAGCTCTTCTTGGTAGTAATACCATGTTCTTATACCTGGCCAGGGGAAATGAAAAAAAATCCTTAAGTAATGTCAGCCATTCTGAGTTCATGCTCTGTTCTTGGGGTTGAGAGAGAGAATAATGTTGGTTCTCTAGTCACCTTTCTACTTCACTTCCACTTAGGGTTGTTTAGCGCTTTCTTCATAAAGCTACTGCTGCTGCTTATGGTGTTAGAACAGACCTTCAAGGATTGTTTTCTCTGGCCCAGATAGTTAAGACACATAATGTGCCAGCCAGGTTCTGTCCTTGTCCAAGCAACATTTGACAGACCTACTTCACAGGATGAGAACAGCTGGTCAGCTGCATTTATTCCCTGCCCTGTTGCCTCCTCTCCATGTACGTGTGTGTTCCTTTACTATACTGGGACAAAAATACGACCCATTCTATTTGTCATTTCAGCTATTCCAAGGATTTCTATTAAATGTCATTTTTGTATTGACTGACTTTTTTTGTCATCACAAACTTTCTCTAGTAACTTTAAAACAGCTTCTGTAGATGTTGGAACTTAGTTGCTTTGCAACTGTATTTTTGGGGGGTTTTGTAGGCATTTTAATCCATATGAAAGACAGTTTCAGCAATACAGAATAAATCTGTCTTTGAGTTGTATTTCTGAGTAGGAATTCTAAGTGTCATTAGGCATAAGCTGACTAACAGAAGTAAGCAGTATTCTGAAGGCATAGAAACCGTTGTTTTGTGGGACTGGCCAGTTGGCTTGGTCTGATCTCCCATACAAGAACATTCTGATTTAAAATTTGAAAAACTCTAAATACAACATGGAAAGGTGTAGCATAAATTGGCTGCTTACAAAATTGTTTCTGGTTATTTGTCCTGTATGAGAAAAATAAAAGCATAAATCAATCCATACAAAATGTACTTATGTTAGTTACACTTATTTATTTAATTAAAGCAAACAAGGCAATGCTATCAGAATTTTTTCTAATTACATGGCTTGTATACCTGTAGGGAAAACTGGGGTATTGCAATAGCTAATAAAATCACTCTGAGCAATAGTGAGTGCAATATGTGAAACTTGATTAACAACCTTGGCTTCAGATACTATACTTACTTTTTTTAATGGTAAGAAAACTCCCCAAACTTCTAAAAGTTGCTACAGCTGTTGCTCTTTTTTTTTTTTTCCTTTAATATTCAGCCTTTCACTAGTACTTCCTGTCGTTGCCCAGAATTCAGTTTTTGGTTGTCTCATCTCTGAAATTCCTAGATTCCAGCCAGATAAAGTAGCACTGCTATCATGAAATTCATAATGGGGAGACTTAAATACCCCTCTATTAGCTTTTTGCTATTATGAGATATCTAGCTCAGACTAAAAAAAAAAACTAAGATTTTATTTTTTCCCCAACATAATTTATTAAACTGTTTGAAGTAATCATACAACTGTTTCAAATGCTTTATTTAACTAAGTTGAAGGATAGAAGTGTTTTAGCGTTAGCCTTGCCTGTCATTGAATTCACTGGTACAACTCAAGTAGGCTTCACCAGTTTCAATGTTAAAGTATTAGTGAACATATTTTAAGATCTCCATGTCAAGTTTTTCATTTTCATTTTCCATTTCTTTACAGATGCCCTTGTTTTATAGTTTTGGAAGTTTTTCTTTGTGGACTACTTAGCGTTAAATGCATGTTTGAGTGTTCTGTTTTTTACTGGCATAATACCAAGGACAGGGGCTGAACTGCTCTTAAAAGAAATAGTGGACATTATGTAGAAATAAATCAAAATTGATTTCAGTATTAGAAAGTTTCATTTCATTTCAGT